TATTTGAACTATGTGTGCAACTTTGTATGACCGAGACTTGTATCCATGTTATTTCTATCAGGTATGACTAGGCACCACTAGTACAACTCTATATTCCGCGTCTAATATGTCTGGTACGACTGGTGCGACTAGTACCACTAGTTTCAAGTACAACTAGTTCAACTACATTTTAGTTGTACTAAAGTCCAACTGGGAAGACTGGTACGACTATGCTTTCTACAAAAATGTCAATAACACAATTTGTAAATGTATTTGTAAACATTTTTCCATATAAAATAGGTCATAGAACATTTTGCAAACATATTTGAACATTTCATAGTTAAATAAATTTGATCCATGAAAATGTTTGATCCATGAAAATGTGTTCTCTACACAATCTACCTTATACTTTTAAGGTTACTTTGTAAATCTTAACCACACAAACATGAAAACTATGAAAGTTTGTATTTTTATACTAGTTATAGCATTAAAATATTAGTTTATTTACAAAATTTTACAAGTACAGCTAAAAATGTTTAATTTAGGTATGATACTACTGATTACAAAATTTTACAACTTTATGTCTTTAGGGTACAACTCAAAATTGGGTACAACTATGTTATAAAAAAACTGGGTTCAATTTTTTTTTTGACAGCGCAAACTTGCAAAGACATTCATTTCCTCTTTTGACGGCGCACGTGACTTCATATTTTATCTATTTTTAACTTCATTTTAAACATGTTTTTTTTGCATGCACACATTTTTTTTTCTGCCACACATTTTTAAAATTCAGATTTAGTTGGTCTAGTTCTGCTAGTCGTACCTTTTAATTCAACACATAAAAAAAGACTTGCATAAAATATATATGTCCAAATCCTGAAAAACACAAAGACAAATTCTAACATAGCAGATAATGACACAACATAAGTTCAAAGGCCTAAGTTACTTAATAACAATCCTTCACCAAACGTGAACGAGTAACCTTCCTTTTTTGCTTGGGAGTCTTACTCTTCTTAATTAATTTCTTTGCTGCTTGGGCTTGAAGACTAGGTCGTTTCTTGATTTTCACCTTCCTAGGAGTTTGGACTGTATCGGCATCGTCTCCACCTAACAAAAACAAACAAAAATCGATGAAACTCATTTAAATAAAAAATAAATCTCCAATTGTTTGGCTCATTAAGGAAGATAAATCTCCACTTACCAGTTAGAGCCTTTTCCATAGCCTTATCCACAGCCGTTAACACTATCTCCGCAGCTGCACTAGCCTCAGCCGCCACAGTCTCCACGGTCTTCGCAGCCTCCATCATCTCCGAAGCTGCCGCAGCCTCAACCTCAGCCTTCTCCGCAGCCTCAACCTTCTCCCTCTCTACAGCCGCCGCAGCTTCCGCCTCAGCCTTCTTTGCAGCCTCCTTCTCCGCCTTCTCCTTCTCTTCAGCTGCGGCTCTCTCTGCCTTCTCCCTCTCTACAGCCGCAGCAGCCTCCTTCTCCGCAGCCTCCTTCTCTGCAGCCTCCTTCTCCGCCTTCTCCTTCTCCTTCTCTTCAGCCGCGGCTCTCTCCGCCATCTCCCTCTCTACAGCCGCAGCAGCCTCCGTCATCTCCTCTTCAGCCGTTTTCTCTGTGACATAAAAAAAAGAGTCAAATAAACTTCAATATTCAAAACAAAAAAATTCTCAAAAAATGTTTCTTACCGAAATCATCATTTCCACCATACTGAAAATCTGGAGGATTTTTTTGCTCTTCCACGAAGCTCTCCACAGCTACCAACCTTGTATCCAAACCTTGAATCTTGTCATTAATTTCCTTGAACCCTTCTTCCATTAATTTCATCATCCTTTTCAATTGCTCGGATATTGGCTCAATCACAACTGCAGGTTCTTGTTCAGCTGGCTCACCTATTGCCGCACCTTCGTTTTGGACATCTTCTTCTTGGAAATTTTCTTTTTCGACAACTCGGGATTGAACATCGGCCATGAAGACATCCTCCCACTGTATCTTCCCTTGTTGGCGGACTATAAACTTGTTCTACCCATCAACAATAGGGTCAGCTACATCTGAATCATCCTTCAGTTCAAAGTCCTGCCACTGTGTCTCTTCCATGGCCCTCTCTATGAGATCTACTTCCTCATCTTCAGCAGTCAAAATACTAGTAATGTCCTGAAGTATAACGGAAAAAAAATTAAACCGATTAATTAATTAGTACGACTAGTACGAATATTAGACCAACTACTGTCAAACTACTGTCAAACTAGTACGACTAGTACGAATATTAGACCAACTACTGTCAAACTACTGTCAAACTAGTACGACTAGTACGAATATTAGACAAACTACTGTCAAACTAGTACGATTAATACGAATACTAGGCCAATTACTGTCAAAGCCAACTACTGTCAAACTAGTACGACTAGTACGATTACAATTGATCCCAATAACAAAAAGTAAAATACCTTTGTATCTCCAAGATGCTCATTTATTGAACCCAGCGAATATCCAGTTGTGCCAGTCTTCGTGAACTCCCATTTGCACATTCTTGGACAATCATCTTCTGCATTTGTTGCTTTCACCCGAAATTGTGTCTTCGGGGTTGGAATACATTCAAACGCCAAAATCTGCACATATAATTAAACCAGTTAGAGTAGTTGTACTATTCGCACTAGTTGACGTAGTCATACTATTAATACGAAAAATCTGCATATTTAATTAAAACAGTCGGACGAGTTATACTATTCGGACTAATTAAAACAGTAGGAAATATGACTTACTTCCAAAGGGTTGAGGAACCCAGGAAACGTCCAACTCGTTTTCTATGGGATCGATCCTTTGAAATGGTTCGCCATATGAAAAATCTTTTTGATGTTGTCCTCGAAAGTAAACCGTCCCCACGGGAATGTCTTACATAGCTCGAGATTATCAACCATCCTCAGAATAAAAGGCTCTATGGCTACTCCATGCTTTGATCTCCCTCTTATCACTGTCGCCAAGAAGTACAGGACAGCCATCCTTAGCCGATTCCTAGTGTCATTATACCTCATCCCTTGAAGTGCTTTTAGCACAACTTAAGCTGCAATTTTTTCGTCTTTAAAATGGTTCCTAGCAAACCTCTCGCCACCTAACTTCGGGTAATTCGCTGGGTACTCGTGGCAGTACAGTCCTGAGAGGAGAGCATGCTCTCTGATGGAGTATCTAATGGGCACTCCATTTACCACAAACCAAGCCTGTCTACCCTTCTCCGTTTGTACCGTGCGTAGAAGCAACATCCACAGCCCCGTCACCTTTCTTGTTGCATAAGTCTTCATGTGAAACAGGTGCTTGAACTGCGGGTGGTTCAGAAACCAACTCTTCCAAAGTTGGAAATACTTCCTCCTTAAATTTGTGTTGCAAGCATTTGGTACTTAGCTTACATCCCTTTTGGTATTCGATGGGATTGAAGAAATATCCGAGAGGCCGCATTGGTTCTTCTACATCATCATCATCATGCTGCAAAAATAAGAAAACCGATTTAGTACGACTACTGTCAAACTACTACGACTAGTACGATTACTAGGCCAACTACTGTCAAACTAGTACGACTAGTACGAATACTAGCCCAACCGTTATGATTACTACGCCAACTAGTGTCAAACTAGTACGACTAGTACGATTAGTATGACTACAATCTAGTACGACTAGTTGACCTACTCCTACTACTCAGACTTGACATTTCATGCAATCCAATTATACTAGTTCAAATAATTACAGTAGTTATAATAACCGTTCTAGTTGAACTAGTTGAACTACTCATACTAGTCGGACTAGTTAGACCCAATTATACAACAAATTAGAGTTTACCAGTGGTGGTGGTGGTTGCGATGATGAACCGATTGCCGGTTCTGAAATCGAAGGCGGGCCGGTTGCCGGTTGCACCGCCGGAGGCAGACTTTCTTCTGCTGGTTCAGTCACCGGAGCCGCCGGAGGCGGAGCACTGGACTTTGACTTCCGCGACTTCTTCTCTTTTCCTCGCGGTGCCTCCGAACGCTTCTCCCTCTTTCTTTTCTTCTTCGCCGACGGATTTGAACTCGACGGCAGCGGATTTTCTTCTTCTCCTTCGGTCACCGGACCCGGCGGAGGCGGAGCACTAGAAGTTTCATCTGTTGATTTCGATTTCTTCTTCGGCTTCTTCTCTTTTCCTCGCGGTGCCGCAGGAGGCTTCTCCGCCTCTGTTTGCTTCTTCGCCGGCAGATTTGAACTTGACGGTGGCAGCGGCGATGATGTATGATCCGGCGAAGGCGGTGTTCTCAACCGAAGCCCTTTCGTACACGCCATGAGATTGATAAATTATGGATTTGATCGGTGGTTTGGGTTTCAGAGAAGATGAAAAGTGGAAATTGGTGGTTTATCAGAGAAGATGAAAAGAAGTTGTAAAAGTTGACGGTTTGATCGAAAAGTTAGGGATTTGGAAATTGTTTTTGGTTTGGGTTTGAGCTGAAATTTGATTTAGGTTTGGGCCGAATTTAGATTTAGGTTTGGGCCAAAACCCAATAGCTATTTGGTTGGTTGATTTGTAATTTAAAAGATTTTGGATACCCTTCATTGTCATTTCATGCATTTTCGATTAAAAAAAATAAAAAATAAAATAAAATATTATAACAAAAGCAAGTCAGATTATATCTGTGTATGGAAGAACATTACTCTCCAAGAAAATTTAACATTTCTTTCTTCTTTTTGTACGACAAAGGTAAAAAAGTACAAAAGAGGAGGAAATCCTAAAAATAAAAAGCAAAACCAACCTCAATTTCGAGTAAAAAGTAAAATTTTGCAGATTAACTTAAACCGAACTAAATCCTTTTTAACATTTTCTTTGAAAACAGAGTATAATTAGAAATTTTACATTTCTCTCCTCTCTTTGAACGAAAAACGTAAAAGAAGAAAGAGGAATTAATCCTCAAAAAAAGGCGAAACGAAGGTTGATCGAGCAAATTTCTTCGGTTTACTTTAAACCGAAACCAAATCATCTTTACCATTTTCTGGACTTTTGCCTCAGCCCTAAGTGGCCGTCCTCGAACCTCTCCTTATTCGTATTTAACAAAAAAACACAATAAACGAAACGAAAATGGAACTAGGGATTTCGAAAAGCCATGACTAAATCAGTCAACAATGTCGACCAAACTTTTCTAATTCCAGAAACTAAGCATTACACAGCGTCTTCCTCCTTTTCGTAAATGCAATACTATTTTTGACCATCCACGTTCTTGGTGGAGCGCATTACACACTGCGTCAGAATCGAATCTCACACCTTTTTTGGTTTCTTTCACCGTCTTTTTCTTAAATTTTTCATCTTTTGTTCTTCAAACCCACAAAAAATCCAGATCTGATTTCATCGGATTCGTGGGTCCATCGTCAAAAAAAAATCATGTGGTCGGTGATGGGTTTGGCGAGACGTGCGGCGTTTTCCACCGTGACTAGAGGGTATCCGACTAGGCCATTGCTCGGAGGTGGTTGCAGATGTCTCACCGTCGAATCAATGCCGGAAAAAGCCAAGGAGGAAGAAGATATAACTATTACGGAGGCGAAGAAGCTGATGAGGTTAGTGAATGTTGATGAGATGAAGAAGAAGCTCGTTGGTATGGCGGATAAAGAGATTGTCTCTTACAGTACCCTCGTTGAAGCTTCTCAAGGTTTAGGTATCGCTAGATCTCTTGATGAAGCTCACGCTTTCGCTCGTGTACTCGATGATGCTGGTGTGATTTTGATTTTCCGGGATAAAGTCTATCTTCATCCAGATAAGGTCTGAAATCTAAAAACCTCTCTTTTGAAAAACCCTAATTTCTCTGAAATTAATCTTGTTCTTTTGGGGTTTCTCTAAAAATTGGTTCTTGTTTTCTGGGTATTTTTGCAGGTGGTGGATTTGATTAGAAAGGCAGTACCCTTAGGTTTAAATCCAGAGGATGATCCAATCAGACACGAATTTGATAAGCTTAGGTGTATGAAGGAAGAAATAGATGTTTTAGCTCATAAGCAAGTGAGGAAGATACTATGGTGTGGTCTTGGTTACTCAATGGTTCAAATCGGACTTTTCTTCAGACTAACTTTCTGGGAGTTTTCATGGGATGTAATGGAACCGATTACGTTTTTCACTACAGCGACTGGGATTATTGTTGGTTATGCTTACTTCTTGCTGACTTCAAGAGACCCAACTTATCAAGATTTCATGAAGAGATTGTTTCTTTCGAGACAGAGGAAGTTGCTCAAGAGCCGTAAGTTTGATGTTGAGAGGTTTAAGGAGCTTGAGAAGAAGTGGAAGATGACTTCAAGCTCTTCATCTTGGTCTGCTTCTTGCCACGCAAACGCATCGATTCGGAATCGTGTTGGTGTTGATCTTGATTTGGAGGATTCTTTGCAGAGTCGCAGAGATTGATTCTATCAGTTTTTGTGGTTTTCTAACCTTTTTCACTTTTGGTATTTATACTTAACCAAGTTTGATTCTTTGGTGTCTAAAAAGATCCAAAGAATGGAAGAGGAAATTTAGTTTGTCTTTGCAAGTAATCTTGAGATTTTATTTTATAATCTTGAGCTACTGTTATCTATAATCGCTGATAATTTTAAGTTTTAACTTTCATTTTAATGGTTAAGTTTATGCCGGATCATAATCGTGTTGTTTATTATGAACCAGGAGCGGGCAGGCTATAAAATACCTTATATATTTAATATATAATTAATATTTTAACTATTATTTAAAAATTATGTTTAATAAAAATATCTGATATGTCATTACTTTAGCAAAAATTAGTGTAATTTAATATTGACATGGAAATATGATATTACAAATTTCGTAAAATAAACAAAATATTTTAATTGTTTGAATTATAACTAAATAAATTTTATAATTATAACATAAATACATAAGATTATAACACTAAAAATAACACTAAAAATAATAAATTTAAATTAACAGAAAATAATAATTACTATAATTTTAATTTGTTTTTACATATATTCATAATAGAAGCATAAAATATGATTACGCAAATTTTACTACCAATATAAAATTATATTTTTATATAGAAAAATAATAATAGATTATTCAATAAGATAATATATACGATATAATGTTGAGAGTATGATATACTATTAATTTTATATAATTTTTAACATTTTTATATTATTGTTTGCTGGAATTTGCGTAGCTTATATTACTATCTCATTTTATCTTTTATTTTCTTTATAATTAAATTAAAAGTTTATATCATACTCATATACAGTCTCACTGTAGATAGAGAATTTGAGATCAAAAATAAAACGCAATGTAACCGGACAAAAAAATAAATTATAAATAAGCAAAACAAATATGAATAAGAAATAAAAGTAAAAATAAAAATAAATCTCTACAGTTTTGTTGTAACACTCTCAAACTTTGTTTTACGGAGTCATTTAAAAATCTTAAGAAATAAATTTTATAATAAACGCATGTGTGGCTCAAATTTAATAATGAACACATTGTATGCAGACCAACCATAAAAAAATTATTTTTTTCATCAAACTAATTCCTCAATATTGGACAAAGAGATGAGCGGAGACCTACGAGAAAATTTTATAAAGATTTCACAAATTTTATAACAAATATTTATTATAAATATTATTTGATATAAATAAACATATGAATAAGAAGTAAAAATAAAAGTAAAAGTAAAAATGAATCTTTACGACTTTGGTTTTCTGTAAAAATCTCATGCTATGTCTTTGGTTTAAAGCATCTCTAACCCACATTTATTTTAAATTTTCTAATTTATAGGAAAATTAGCGATGTTATTTTTTCTTCTATAATTGGAGGAAAAAATAACAATCTTTCTTTTTTCTTTAAAATAGAAATAGGCTGGAGAGAAATCCACATATATTTTAGAGGAAAAAAATAGAAAAATATATTGGAGATGATCTTAATGTTTAATATATTATTCAAGGTTAAGAAAAAAAATATGATTCAAAGAAGATAAAAAAAAAAATAATTATCATCGACTTTATGTTTTTATTTTGAAATATTTAATAATATTATCTTACACATATTAATTCTTTCATACATGTATTTTTTTCAAAATATTGTTTCATGAATCAAGTTTTGTATATGTTATGGTCCATTATATATAAGATTAACACATATAACAAAGTTAAGAACAGAAAAACTCTTATTTTTTTTAATAAAACAATTAAATATTAAATATATTATTTTACATCTTTAACCATGCCAACTGTTCGGGAGCAAATTTTGGGATGCCACGTGAAAGAATCTGATTGGTTGTCGTGTATGCGGGGAATATTTGAACTCTGTGGGGTGGGTTAGCCTGCAATGAAGAGAGAGAAGAGAGAGATCTTCGATAAACAGGAAAGGGGTGCCCTTCCGATTACGCTCTGACGCTCTAGTCAGAAAGGACACGGGACTGGACGAAGCTTATTAGGTCTATCGGAAGGACTGATTATAGGGGCGCTCTATCGACTCGGAAGGATCCCGATAAAACTTTTGAGATAGAGGTTAACTGCTGAAAATGAAGCTAGAAGATGAAGTTATCTTTCTAGATTGCTCCTCCCTCTGCTGTTGAGAGGAGTGTGCTTTTATAGGGAATACATGGTTCCGGGTCGCTCCCGGGTTCGGGCCTCAACGCTTCCCGGGTCGGGTACTAACTTATGTTATTTTCCATCATTATCACAATTCCCGGACTCCTCCATGCGTGTAGTTAGAGGGAATGGGTTGCCGACCTGTCCCGCCTTCTCCTAACCGCCATCATTGCAGCCTTCTTTGGTAGGTGCGGTGCATTTAATGCACCTCGGGTTCCCGCCGCGTCCGTTTCCCACGCGTTGGGCCTCCGTGGGCTGCACATGTATTTTACGGCCCAACACACATATAAGTTTAGGATCGGGCTGGTTTAAACGCTGCGGTTATAGAGAGTTTGTGGAAACGAGCGATTGCGGGATATAAAAAATTTGACAAAGAGATGAACGAAGAGCTACCGGAGAATTTTATAAAATAAGAATTCACAAATTTTATAATAATTTTTTATTATAATTTTTATTTAGAAACCGTATATCATAAAAAGATGAAAATTAAGAAATTCTGATTAAATACAAAACGATATAAACGGTTTTCGTGATTGTTGTTAAACGTCAAAAACTGTATCGTGTAAAATTACACCGTTTAGGGAAAACATAAGAAAAACTACCAACACCTAAATATTACTATTCACTTATTTATAACTCATACCAACATGCATAAATATACGTATTTTTTTATTAAAAAATCAATCATACATTACAAAAATATATATTATAAAACATATATTTTGTTATTTTTTTTAACACATAAAAATCATACTTTGAGTTTTTCAAAAATATGTGTGTAGATACAAATATAAATTGTGCAAAAATCAAAGTCGCATGCAAACTTGTCGTGCATACATTTTCTTAAACACGATTACAGTCCAATTTTAATTTTAGTTATTAGTCAATTTGTATCTATTAAAAAGATCTATATATGTCCTAAGAGCAGTGAGGTGGTTGGTACGCACGAATGTGCGGACCAACCATCTACTCGCCCTTAGGATAAGTATTTATGGTAAAAATCCATTTTAGTTTACTTAGCAATAGGTCAAAGAAAAATGTATACTTAAAATTTATATATTGACAAGATTATATTATGCAAAGGGAAAGAGAAATATAATCTAACATATATTAAACATGAAGCATTAGTGGCTTATGTGTTAAATTCTCATAATTTTGAATTTTTTAAATCTCAACAATGATTAAAAACTTAAATAATTTATATTTGTAACCAAACACGATATTTCTTGGAACCAAACAAAAACTTCTCTAATTATATATTTTTAATTGCATTTAATGTTTTAAAAATCTGCAATTAATATTTAGGTTGTTTGTATATAATTTAAACAATTCGATTTAAATAAATATAACACAAAATTTAAGTGAATTTTTATTTTGTTTTAAAGTATCTAACATGTATTAAACAGGAAGCATTAGCTTAGATGTCATTATCTCCTTTTTCTAATATTTTTTATTGATTTATTTTTATGCGATATTTTTATTATACTTAAATTAAATTGAATTTAAATGGAATCAATCACAAATAATTCGATAATTTAATTGGTTTAGTAAATTAATTTAGTTACCTGTTTTATTAATGGAAATAAAAATTATTTCCATGTTTTAGATCTAGGAAAATTTATTGTTTTGCAACAACATTGATTCACATATTATACAAACGGAAAATAATATAATTTTTCGAAACCTCGGACGAAAGTAAATGTAAATCTCGCTTTATATAAATTTAAATTAAAAGCAACAATAATTAAATATTCTTAAATCTCATTTTTAGATACCTAAATATTTTTTAAAACTTAATAAATTATAGAATATCTCTTAAATATTTTTACAAACATTACACTGCACGAACGTGCGGGTAGTAACCTAGTATAGATAATATTCAACACATATTATAAGTATTTAATTATTATTCAATATAACTTTTACACTTGCAATGTTAAAAATCTAGGTTAATATTTTAAAAATCTAGGTTGATATTTTTTTTATCTTCAATTTTTATTGAAATATATAATATTTTTCATTTGATTTATTGTTATTAATATATTAATTTATTATTAAATATTTATATAATATTTTTATTAATATATAATTAATATATATAAATAAAGCATCTTTAATATATAACATTAACTATATATTTAATATATAAAATATTTTATAGTCCGCACATGGTGCAGACCGATCACCTAGTAATATATTAAAAATATTTAAGTTATACATGATTAATTATACATTAATAATAATATTATAATAAATATTTAATAATTAAAATATAACAATAAATTAAATAATAATATTATGAATTTCAATAATAATTAAAGATAAAAGAATATTAACAAAGATTTTAAAATATTTCTTTAAATAAAAAATATAAATAAAATAACTAAATAAACTGAAAAATATATAATAATTTCTTTAATTTTTATTTTTAGCCCCCACGCATGTGTCAATATAATTTGTTTATAAATATATTTAGTTATAATATTCATGCATTGATTAATTTTATATACATTATTTAAACGTAATATTTTTATACATGTACAGTTTTAGTATTTAACAACAATCACACAAACGTTTCATATTGTTTTGTGTTTTCTAAAATTTTTTTATTTTTTATAACGTTTACAGTAACATATAATTGCAAATATAAAAATTATATTAAATAATAATTAAAATTTTATAATATGTTTTAAATATTGTCTATACCAAAATATTTTTTTTCCTTACATAATATAATCTTACCAATATAAATATTTTAAGTATACATTTTTTCTTGACCTATTAGTAATTAAACCAATATGGATTTATCATTTTTACTTATCCTAAGAGTGGGTTGATGGTTGGTCCGTATATTCGTGCATACCAACCATCTCATCGCCCTTAAGTCATATATAGATTTTTTTTTTAGAAAAAAATTGTCTAATAACTAAAATTAAAATTAGATGGTAATCTACACTAATAAATTATATGCACGATAAGTTCGCATGCGACTTTGAATTTTGCATAATTAATATTTATATCTACATACATATTTGT